ATATATATATATATATATATATATATATATATATATATATATCGTATCGTTATACATATATATATTTTTTTTACATTAGATCGATCGGAAAACAATGACCGATCGTGCAAGGAATCTACAATGACGATAGTAAAATTTCTACGGAATTTCAACAGCGAAGTCTCAGTTACGAGATAATATATACAGCACTGAGATCAGTAAGAAACGAATGTTCATATTAGAATAGCACATTCACGTGCCATTAAAACGAAAGAATGGTTGATGACAATAACAGACGACTGATATCGGTGATTATTTTCCCAACAATCTGAGATAACAAAGAATTTACTGCATACTGTATTCGCACGTTTGACTTGTCCTTTTATGAGAGATTATCTTTTTTCTATCTATGCGTGTGGCCCGATACTTCGGTCGAGCATGAGTTCTGTGGTGCAAACCACATGTCGCGAACGTGCAATTGAAATTACGATGGGGAGACCGTATCGCAGGATGTCCCGATAACGAATGTGAACGAATATAATTTATCAGTCATCGTAATGAAGGATGAGAAAAGAGATTCTTCACGATCGTGCTTCTTATACGGAAGGGCATACAATCTACGGCGCTCGAGTGACAGAGGGGAGCGGATGAAAAATGGGATGAAAGATGTTGCTTTCCGTACATTATGATATCACACAGCGTCGTACAAAGGAAACGACATACGCAAGAAATCTTCGGGAGTTCCGTTACGGGCTTATAGTTGTAGTGTTGGGAATATATCGAGCTGCCATTACGCTGTAATGACTTTGCAGTTACGGTATAGACGTGATAGTAATTAATAACGCAAGAGTTAGATCGTATGAGTCGGATTAGCATCATCAAATCACTCTCTTTGATAGAAAAGATAGAACGCACTCCAAGATAGAAATTTTCAAAGGCCGCGCTGACACGGAGACACGAGAAATTCGGAATGGAAAAGTTGCCAATGTCGGGTGTATCGAGTGCAACGAGAAGGTAAAGATCCGGTGGCACGGTTTTGAATATTTCAAGCGAGCGTAAACGATATAAAATATAACAATTCGAGGATTAATAATAATTCAATATTGAATTACTGCAACCGCAGAACGTGCGGCAGAAAATAAATTATGGAAACAAATGGTTTTTTTTAACACAATACGTGCAACAATACCCACTGCATAATAAGTGCGTGCTGTCGCGTAGTTAGTTCGCAGTTAACAAGAGACGCAGAACGAATAAAACGTAATGAAAACTTGATTGCGACCGGATTTTTATATTTGTCAGGTGAATTTTCATAACAATATCCTTGCGCGTAACACGCCGACGGCATTCAAAGCCCGTCGGCGCGAATTCGAAACGTTTCAATTCCATCCATCCATTCCCATTTATTCCCAACACTATCTCCACGGTCTCGAGGTCGTTTAATTAAAACTTGGCTCGACCCGGCTGGACTAATCGCAACTGCCAGTTTCATGGATTTCCTGCGGTTACCGCGTTCCAAACAACCGGCCGCCTTCGTGCTTAAGCTTCTCCTTATTAGCAACACTCTCTCGATGCTCTTGCGTCAATATTGCGTCATACGTGGACCAAGAAATCCAGCGTATCCGCGCGGTTTTGTCCATTACCCGCGTATTATTATGTAATACGCCGCCGCCCGCGTTCAATGTATTTAGTCACCTCCTCCATGAGCAATTTTGGACGGACATAGATTGATTAATCTGTCAAAACGATCCGTGTTGTAGCGAGAAAGATTTATCTGCCGATCGGTCGAAGCCTCCCGCGACAAAAGCATCGACAAATCGGCTGTAGCTTCATATTGTTCGAAAAAAGGATTTGGAAGAGTTCGGGATTGTATTGCGCGTTATAGTCGGATTGTGTCTCGCTCCGCACACGCAACTGGTGTGTCGCGCCGTTATGCTGTTACAAAATTTACAAGCCATACAGTCTACGGCGTATCGTTTCGGGGCAAATTGCATCACGATAAAAGTCCTTAACTGAAAATTGTATAAAACTTGCCCGGGATTGCGCACGTCACGAGCGATTTGATCGTGCTCGCGATTCGCGTATACACGCTGTTTCTGATCGTCGTCAGTTTATAACATTTTCGTCCGGATCGATACTTCCTCCCTATAAATTGTTTACGCTGCTTTGCAGGATCTGCATCATCCGCGCGACCAAACGAAATTTAGCCCGGCGGCTCACAAGTCACCCTTTTATTTCTCTGCCTTCGTCAAACATGCCTGCCGCGTTAATTAATCGCAAGCCGGCGATTGTTATTTGCAGCCAGCGTGTCGTTAGTTATTTTAGCGCCCGACGAGATACTGACTCCGTGATTATACATCGCGAATCGTTCGATCGGCATAGAGAAGAATCGTCCTCAAATCAGCACCACGATTGGCGGACGCGGTGTTCGCGGCGAATTTTCGCTCGGTACTCTCTCAAAGCGAATCAGTAAGAATGTTTTTGGGTAGTACAACGAGCGTTTCACCGACACTCAGTGAAGATTTATTGATTTTTTAGCGGAAACGCTACTAATTTACTACTCATCTTGCGTTTCACCAATTTGGATCAGCGGAAGTCAAATGCCGCTGCAAAATCCGTATGCGCTGCACGAAATTCAACTTTCTGCATGTCTGACGATCGAATTATCGGCTTGCCTGCAGTGATACTGTCTGTGTATGCGAGCTGCATTTATAACAGGAACGGCCGCCACTGTCGACTGAATCTTTCAGTTCGGGATTTTGACTGACTGCAATGCTGTACTTGTAACTGAAGCACCAGTTATGAATACAGCGTGTTTCAGTGAAGAAGATACTGATTGCACCTTAGAGAGTACACTTTCGCATCTCGACGAACACACGAGTGGTGTCACACGTGCGTGCTCCTTTGTTATTATATTTAGTAGCAAATTACATGTATTTAGTAGGAAAAATAACACGTGTAGAGTTTAGTAGAATCATCTCGCGCTCTCGCAACAAAACGTGAGCGAGCGGCGATCGCCGCGCAGCTCGTCGCGCGGAAGGGCGTCGAGCTCAGTGTCTGACGAATGTTTAAGGATACTACTGACCTGGTATACTATAGAGGGAGACCGAGCTGTCTCTAGAGAAGCGCGCCGAGCCCCCGAGACTCCCAAGGGGACTCTTACCACACTGGTAGCTGCGAAGCGGCTTGGCCGGCGGCACCCCGCCACCACCTATCCAACCATCCAAAAAACCAAACAAAAAACCAATGTACCCAGGTGCTCCGATGCACGTCTCTTTCTTCGCCACCTCGCTAAGCCGTTCGACGTTCAGTGCACATGCAGAAGTGAACAAGACGGAGTCTTCCGGTCTGCGCGCGGGCGCGCGTGTTGCGATCTTCCACATTCTCCTTTTGCTCTTGCCACGGATCTCGCTCGTAAATTTCGCTCGCGAATGTTCGATACCGCCGTCACGGGGACACACGACTCGAACTGACCGCGATAACCTCCTCGTGCTGACTCAAACGCGGAGATCGCGGGTCTGGGCTAAGAGAAAATCCGTCTCGAATTTCCCGGCGTCGCTCTCGCGACGTTCGCGTTCCTTTTCTCCCGGCACGACGTGGCAGTGATCACGTCGGCGATCGCGACTGCCGTTGAAATTTAGACGCAATAGCTTGTCGACTTTTACATATGTGCACTTCTCGCGGTCGCGTCGCGGTAGTAGTAATTGAAGCGTCAAGAGAAATGTCTTCTTCAACCAACAAGCCAATGAGCGTCGGTCGTTCCCTTCGACAGCTTACAGTACGTCCGTGCTTTATGTTCCGATCTACCTCGTCATAGTAGTTAATCAGGACCGACTGCATGATCGACCGTTCGCGTGTCGCGACGTCTCTTCGTTTTTGGCGACTCAGTGTCTCGTGCAAAACGTTTCTCTCGACAACGAGAAGAACGCTCGCGGCTTCCAGTCTAGAATGAGGCCATCCTTTCCCTTTTGGACTGGATGGCCGGCTTGTTAAGCGTTTTTGAGCAGTCTCGAGTGTAGCGCTTGGCCAACAACCACGGTCGTAACGATCTGCGTGAACGATCAGGAATCGAAACGACCTTGCAACCGTCGATCGGAAACATGAAGAATGGAGAGCGATTGCGTGTGTGCGTCTGTGTGCGGATGTATATGCGCAGCTCAAGCTCACAAAGCACGAGGGATGTGTGCGCGTTGAGAAAAATTGGTCGAGTCGTGGGGATGATCCGCGGGGAAAAGACGCGTGAAATTGGCGCAACGACAACCGCGCGCGCGCGGCGTCGTCTCGACGGCGATTCGTCCTTTACGCTCAACGGGGGTTATCAAGCCGACCGGCAGTCGATTCGACCAATTTTCGCAAACGCCGTGAAGGGGGATGGCTCTGGTTTCTTTGTACGTCGCAGCGCTGGGGCTCGTTCACGGATGTTGAAGCGTTCGCGACGTTAGTTGCGGTTAAGGCGACCAGAATCTCACGTTGCCAATACGCTCGATCGGGTATGCGTTAGTGCACACGCATGAGCGATCTCGTGAAATGAATTTCTCTCTCGGGCGAGAGATGAAAAGCGGCCAATTTTGCGCCGAACGTCCAAAGTTCGATCGATCGTACGATTGATCTCACCAGGCCTCCCGGCGATTCTTTTGAGAGGATTGAACTGTCGATATTGAGAGGCCTCGTGGATTCGTCGGAATCAATGCGAATTTCGCATACCTGTTCTGTAATGTCGAAGGCGAGAGACAGGGCGCGGGGATATGTGCTTGCGCCTCGCGTTGATCTTTCTGACGCGGCGCACGGGGCTCAAAGGGGATTCCCCAAATTCCGGAGATCTATCGTAATGTTTTAGAGGGAATTTCACATTTCTGGTCACCTTAGCGGTAAGGCATCTTGAGGGGATGCGGAGTTACGCGGAACGTGCACAATGTGTATTTGCGTGAATCCCAAGGTGAAGGGTACTCTTCACTGATGCTACACTACGTGGAATATCGATGCAGGTATGAGGGGAATGCACAGGCGCGAAGCGGTACGTTCAGTCACTGTTGTTCGCGGTTGTGTCATAGAGCGGTCCAAAGACATTATTCTGAAATCTCTCCTTGAGAAAGCGCACGCAACGGATTCGTCGTGTTGGAAGGAGAAATTGCTTTACATAAAAAACCTCTCATTCGTCCTTCTTTAAATTTGACACATACATATCTCTCTATCTCTCCTTCGCGTGATTTTGCGCTGTATTTCACATTCCCAGTAACCTTAAGAGAGCTTAATTAGTAATAATAGTAATTGCCGGAGGTAAAGCTCGTCGATTAAAATCAACGTGGGAAAATAAGGAGCCTGCAAGTCACAGGTGCGGGTCCGTAATCCAGTTTATTTCCAAACGGCTTAGTGGATTTAGAACCTTCCCGCTCTTGCCAAATTATAGTAATTAATTATATTTCACTGCTTGCTCTCTATTGAATGAAAACGCCATCTTTGCACGAACACGGTCGCAAAAGAGAGAGATAGAGAGAAGATAGTCACTTGGGAAAAAAAAACAAATTTTCTCGCTCGTTCGTTACTTGCTATAACCGTGCAATGAGACAACCGCTTTCTCCTCTTTGCTGACCGGTGAATTTGACGTATCGATACGTAACGCCACGGCCGGAGAAGTCAAATGAATAGAGAGAAGTTTTCAGTCGCGAGGACCGATTTGTAGAACATCATTGGACCGCTCGTTTGACGGATCGCGCCGACGGAGTCTCGGACGAGCCGAGTCTCGTCGATCGCGTGCCGATTTGCACTCGTGTGCACTCTCGCACGCGACGACACGCACCACGTCGTCGGACGGCGGGGAAGAGGCAGGAGGAACGCGGGCATTCGTATACCTGGTGTGGTAAGAGTCTTGGGCTGCGTCGGCGTCGCGTTCGGCCCGCCGACGACGCTCGACGCCGCCGGACTGTACGCCCTGAGGAGCGGTCCGCCGCGTGGCAAGGTGCTGCTTCCGCCCACGTAATATCCGCTGCCCGACGTCGAGTTCTTGGCCGTCTGCAAGCAGAAGAGAGGTAGGCGATACTTAGATTATGTCGATAATCCGTCGTCTTTAATTCCGACGACGTGCAATCGAACGATCGTCATCCTCGTCGGTGTGAAAAGTGACAAATGGTTCTCTCTCATTCCGCCGCGATCGTTCAATCGAGCGTCAGTCAACACGTCAAGTTCCACTTTGGGTTACACGAAAAGAATATTATATTTTTCTCATATAAATCCTTTTCAATTTCATGTTTTCAATAGTTTTAGGACACTATCAATAAGATCTTGGACTAAGGAACAAATTTTAGCAAATTTTTAACAACACATTTCGGTTTTTAAAATATAAGTAGTGCATATGAGATGAAAGGGTAATCGATTACGAAGCATGGTTACAGAATGTCTTAATCTGTTCTTCGGTTACAAGGATCTAAGTTTCGCTATAAAACTAGCTGGAATTACCCGGCATTGCTCGACAATTGCATTATTACAAAATGTCAAGGGAGTGAAATCAGGGGAAGGTGGTAGGGGCTCCGGTTTTATGCGGTCTATACTTTCCTAAAGAGTAACTATGTAAAATTTGTTCCAGATCAGTCAACGGATTTAGAAGAGTATTAGGTAACACAGCGGACAAACACTTTATCATATATATATATATATATATATATATATAAGTTCTCTCCATGTAGATAGATCATGGCAACACGTAATAATTCGGGTCTATTATCGTCCGAAAACTCGCCGACTTGGACGTTCGTGAACGTCGACACACGAGTGTCTCCAGGCTACCGCTTTCGCAACAGGTTTTAGCGCACAGTATCGTTAACGTTAGCTTTCCAGTGCGAACCATCGAATATCGTTGTTTTTACGGTCACTTTGGCGCACGCTCATGTACGTTATTACGTATCGACTTCCCAACAGGAACTTTCTTTCAGCTGATCAGTGGCGAACTCAGCTCGTCGCAGTAATCGTTATATCAGTATAGCAGTCCTCTGCCATATAGAGTAACAATAAATCTAGGAAATATGTCAATTGCACTTTTTATCACGTAGCGCGAGATTGAAGTTCCTCGAGTTTGTGTCGATAAGGTGCACAAGGTGATGTACGTATATCCTCCGAGAAAGTGTGTGCTCTGGAATATTTGTGCGCGCAATAAAGTGCGCTTCTAATTCCGCTCGTGGCCGCCACATGGAATGTCTAAGTTATTCGCCGTATCATCCCGTTTATTTTGCGCCGTGTGTGTCTCGGCAACTTTCCACGGGAAAGATTAGCTCTCCCATATCGATCACGCACGTCACACGCGTCTGACACATGCAGAATGTACGCTGGCGAAGTCATGTGCAAATCGCGCAGCTATTAATTCGATCAAGTTGTTCCTCACATTACAAGGTATTACGACGAAGTTGACGTGACAGCGGTAGCCAGTCATTCCGTAATAGTTGAAGCGTATTCTTGAGGAATTTCATAGAACAAGACCCGGAAACCTACTTACTAGACGATCTATAATTCGCGACGAGATTCCACTTGCGAGAGAACATTCCAAGAGAATTACGCTTACTGTACATCCGTGAATGTTCTCTGCATCATTAAAATGCAGATACAAGAAGATGTCGAATTACAAATGGAATTCTGTCCCGATCTTTGAATTGTAAATCGTCCATAGGCAAGCTTGATACGGTATTTTGGTTGGTTTGCCTTCCCTTAAATTAACGACCACTTCTTATTTGCATTTCTCCCTCCCATTTCACTCGCGTGAAAAGTTGACAAGCGCATTTACGTGCGAACGGTTCGTGAGTCGGTTTTCGTGCCTGTCCACATCTCGGACAGGATAACCGCTTGCACTCGTTTCCGGCATATCGCTCTCGTTTCCCCGTGGCTCGTGAGCGACCTTCCATGATCTCGATTCCACGTCGTCTCGTTGGAATCGTGGCAAAATTACGCGCGTGCCCGGTAACTGAAATGGGCCGTCTCAACCTGCGACCACACGAAAGGACCTCCCTCTTACCGATTCTACTCCGTACTCGCGCGCTCGCACTCGACCGATTCGCATCGATTTCCCTTTAGTCGTTGTTTACCGTCGCCGTGGGTTCGGCTGGTCGTTTCACTCGTCGGCCGAATCGAGGGAGAGAACGAGATCGTGCCGGAGTGCACGGGGAGAAGAACAATCGAGCGAGGAAGAAAAGGAACACGAGGCAAAGGAAGTTCCACACCACGATTTTTCAAAACTCAATCGCGGCGATCTATATTGGAACCTACGAAGAGAAATAGACCGCCGCTAGGAACAGGATTATTCTGCTCTCCTGCGATCGGTGTGTACTCTTCTTTAGTGGCAAACAAGTTGAAGCTCCGAAAGTGGAAGAGGAGAGAAAAAATAATTGCTTTCTCAGGCGTCAATCATACATAAAAGAGACAGAGAGACGACAAATATATTCCTCTTTCTGCTTTTTATTCTTGCACGTCTACGTGCAAAGAAACGTGAAAAGAGGTCCACGAGCCCGAAGGGCCGTCGCCTTGCCACTTGACGTGCTTTTAATTATAGAGATCATCAAGAAAGCGTCGTCGGGGCTTTTGATTGTACGAGCAAAGAGGACAGGTCGGAAGGAAGGTTATCGCTGCGTTTTGTGCTCCTAGACGTGAAAGCTGTCACACGTCAAGCAAAGAAGACCGGCAGCGAAGTATCTTTACATTCTTCAGCAATCGTGCCAAGTATACCGAGCTGGTGTACACCGAGAAAAGGTCAGCTTTTTACTCGCGCGCCGGGCCAAGCAACGACAAGTAGCAAAAGGCGTCTCTTTATCTCTTACACACACACACACACATACAGCTTTTTGGTGATCGAGGAAAAAAGTTCAGTCGCGTGTCGAGAGACGAAAGAATGAGATCCATTTTTCGAAAATAGCCGGTAACATCGACAAGAGATCCACGCGACGTTGTCTCGATCGTGGAAGCTGTTAGTCAGCAAGGGAAGAGATAAGTTACGAAGAAACTGTGAGGAACAAGGTACAGCCATTGTCGATAACGAAAAAAAAGAAAGCACAAGGAGGATCGCCGACGGACGCGCGGGAGGAGATGCCAGGCAGTTTTCTGCACTTTGACGGGGCAGGAAGAGAAAACTCGCAGCGTCGCGCGTATAACGGATGAAAAAGGTACGAGCGGACGAAGTTGGTAGGAAAAGTTGAGCGGATAACGTTGGAAGACGATCCCCTTTTCTCTTTCTCCCTCGAGAAAGAGAGAGCGCGCACGCGATCAGGTAGACGTGGGATAAGATTAAACAGAGGGAAAGCTGCACACCGAGAGGGTCGGAAGATAAAGAAGGGATAAAAATAGAAGGATCCTGTGTCGCGAATGAGAATAGGAGGGAGAATAAAAAGGCAGGGAAAAGGTGAAGAAAGAGAAGTACGGGAGGAAAAAGAAACAAGGAAAGACGCGTGAAATCGAACGGAGTGGTGCGGCCACGAGAACAGTCAAAGAGACAGCAGCGGATGTAACGGGGGCGATGATCAGATAACAATGAAGAAATTCGCGGCGGATTTCGAAATTAGCATATTGTTCCTTTTGTTCTCGATCTTTCTGGGCTGGCGCACCGCGGCGATTTCGGGTCTGTCGACCGCACTCGCCGAGGGTTACGCGGGTGGCACGTCGTCGATGCACAAGGTCCAGTTAACGCAAAAAGGCTACATTCAGGTGAGAGCCGTAGGGAATAATGTTCTTTTTTTCATTGCCGCGTCGTTGCGCGCTTTCGCTAGAAATTCGCACGTTGTCTCGTAGAGTCCCCCTTCCCCGAGATATGTGCGCCCGGCCGAATTGGCCGCGCGGATTACGCAGTGAATCGCAATCCGCACTTACAAATATTAAGAGTGAAAAGCTAGCAAAACCACGAGAAGTAAGACCACGCGATGATAAATTGACATGTTGTCCGATGTGAAGGGTAAATATGTCTCAGCGAAGCGTGGAAATCCGTGCGATTATTATCGATTACGTGAGCGGTAGACGTGAGTCGGATATTTCTGTGGCACGCAAAAAAAAAAGAAAGAGAGAGAATTGGTTTCACACTGATTGCTTAATTTTCATCGTTCGCGCGCTCTAAGAAACGTCAGGCGTAATCGTTTTCACAACGTAAGCGTGTGGACTGTTCCAGATCGCGCGCGAGCTCTCTTTTGTTTGCATTAATCAATTCCAAATAAAATTTCTTTCTGCAAAAAATTCTTCCTTTTAACCTTAAAAAAATTCTAATAGTTTAATTTAAACGCGAGTTCGTGACTTGTGAATTACAACTTCGTGAAAGCGAGACTCGCATTAAAAATACCACGAAATTGTCGAAATTGAGATAAATGTGAGATCGTGAAACTTGCATGAGGAAAAATTAAACTTTAAATTGATCAAAAACTCCATGTAGATAAAAGCGAGCGGTAATCGTCTGAGACGGCTTGTACACAAGGTCACTTCAATTAGATGCGTGCAGCAGCACGCGACGCTCTTCGCTAATTATCGCTACTTTTTACAGTTTCTCAGATGGGAATTGCCGGTGCCAGCGATCCACGAGTTCACATTCTGCCTGTGGATGAAGTCGAATGATCTCAAGCATCCCCACTCAGTCTTTTCGTACTCGAGTGAGTATTCCTGTGATGAGATCGCAATTTAATTAACAGAAGCTTGGTATTGGTTGCGTATATAATGTCGAGTATTTCCTTTCCCTCTTTTACATTCATGATACATCACTCACAGCACAACAATTTTAAGTGTGCATTGAATACCATTTTTATGTCGAACTAAATTAAACTACCTGGCATTGCTCGAGTTATGACAAATTGTGAGAAAAGTGAAATTCAAAGAGAAGAAGGTGAGACATCCAGATTTTACAGTAGCCAATATTTTCCAAAGGATTCCAGAGAGTAACCATGAAATGTTACTCTAGCAAAATTTCGTTTAATTGATCAAAGGGTTTAGGAGTTAATAGAGAAGATACAGACAGACATCCTTTTTATATGTATAGTTATAATCCTTTAGCTACATTTGCTAAAGGATTCCCCGTGATTCAGATGAAAATAGTAACCGTTCACGTTTCACTCACGTCGTGGCAATCGTAATGTATCCGTGGAAGGAGAGACAAGGTGGCGACCGCACTCGTGACGTTTTAACGCTATTCTACTTCTATCGAGAAGTGTTTTAACCGCTCGAGAACAGTAACGAGGATCTGCTTCCTTACATGACGCCGCTATTATCCACTCAGGCATTCACCGAGTAGTTACACAAGAGTAGTTACAAGAGTCGTTACCGCGGAAAGTCGGCGGGAAAAGTATCTTCGCTTATGGAAAACGCCCGGTCTCTTCATTCCCATATAGCGCACGCTGCATACACTAGCGCGTTGCACTTTACAAGCATGTTAATGAATACTTCGCCGCGCCGTATTATTCTTCTTTATGTACGAGAATCAGCGCTACCGGTCTCGCTGACGAAACGCTAACAGCGCCGAATTACAAAATATTACGAGTATTATATTAGTATTATACTACGATCCGATAGCCGGATAGTAGATAGAATCTGAACGTTTACGACGCGGACCGACCAACAGCGGTCTCATCCTTCACAGAAAGTGTTGCTTTATTATGTACTCCCCATTGAAACCTTAATCCACTTGTGCGATAATGCGCGTTGTAAGAAACTAAGCGAGCTCCGAATGTGACGTAAGAAGCCGAAGAAAAGAAAACTTCTACTTCTCCATTTGATCTGCTGTGAGCAATGTGTCCTGGTAATTACAAGAAACTTTACACCCAATGAAATTTTATAACTTGTGTATAACGTTTGAGCGGCAAAATTAATTATCCGGATGAGAGCGGAATGAAAAGCACGCGTGGAGCCTTTGAGTAAAAAACAATATTTTTTCTTTGCGCGCACTGAGAAAAGAATGTTCGACACCTGTAACTATAATCACATAGAGAAGTAGTTACTATAAATTGTAGTGAAGACAAAGCCTTTTTTAAGTTAAATTTTATTATAATGGTAGCGATAATAACCTTGTGCGGGTGTTAATACTACTGTTTTCGTCTTGAAATAACAACAAAAATATGGTTGGAGTCAAAGAGAACTATAATTTTAGTTAAATCAACCGTTTGTTTCTCTTAGCGCGCATAACATATATATTGCAGTGTGAATGTTTATGTTACTATAATATATATATATATATATATATATATATATATATATATATATATATATATAAATATTGATGATTTATGTGGAGAAAGACGCGCCGAACCGGTTGTATAAATTCTGGTTTCATGCGTTTTGCGCTATGTCTTTATCGAATGAAAAAGAGAGGGAGAGAGGAAGAGAGAGAAACGATACAAGCATAATTTCTCTTTCGCTGTCAAAGGGAACGAGCGGGAACGTTTGATTCGATCTTGGATATCGTCGCGCGGAAGGAGCGTTCACCTGGAAATCGACGGCGTGGAGGTATTCGGATGGCCGATCGACATACGAGAACACCGTTGGTACCACATATGTCAAAGCTGGGAAAATCGGGTCGGTCGTTACGCCCTATGGCTCGACGGGCATTTGGAGTTGCAAGGTCACTCCGAGCAGGTATGTTACGAGTTACGTCAGTTACGTTAATTCGCTATCCTGAAGCCTCTTGCCGTCATGATTTCGTCATTTTTTCCTCGCTAATGAGACTGCCGTTCTTTCACACAAGGCGGACTCACATGTACACGCAGGAACGCTAGATCCGCGCACACGAAGGAAAGTAAAAGTATCAAACTCAAGAGCCGACCATTAAATCCTTCTCAGCAGATGATTTTCGCGATCGAGTGTGAAGTTTGCTTTCCATATTTAAAGTTCGGACTCGACAAAGTTTCGAACATCCCGAATTCACGAGATGTTACGAGACGATTTTCTTCGGATTTGTCTGTGATCTGCCCGCGAATTGAGAGACGTATGCTATGCGTCACGTGAGATTACTGGCGAATCTCTATCTGACGAAATATCTTGCAGATGATCGATCACGTGGTCCCAGGAGGCGGCGATATTGTCCTGGGTCAAGAATACACGGACTTCGATAAAGGGCTCGAGGAGGGCGTGGAGGGTGCGGTTTTGGGCTTCAATCTTCTGCTGGCCTCGGCGTTTGATTTTCTCGATAGCGGCTATCAAAGGCTCTCATCCTCGCCGGCCATCGCGGTGGCTACCAATCTGGCCGAGGACAATCCCTATACCGCGAGAATTCGAACGAAAATAGCGACGGCCGATGCGAATCGCGGATCTGCATTCGACAGACTCGTATCCAGTCGATTTGCGCTCGGTCCTAATTGGTCTCGTAGAATCTTTCGGAGCGACGGCGCGAGAGCGACGCCGGAGGAGAGTTCCGCAATCTCGTCGTCGCACCTGTCGAACGCTACCGACGACACGTGGAGAGAAAGAGCGTCGCCAGTGCGCAGAAACGCGATCTCTCTCGGCGCCGATCATGGGATCGGAGAAATCAATGCGCTCGAGATATCGCCAGGCGCTCCCTTGGGTCTGCAATTGGTGAAATTGTCCTACGTGCATTGCCAGTTGGGCAGAGGCAGCCCTCCGATAGGCGGCTCGTTGATGCTGATTTCCTGGAGCAGGACGCCCGTGAAGGTATTCGGCGGTGCTACCATCAAGAACGTTGGCAACGAGTGCGGTCGTTTCTGAGGAACCCCCTTCGGTCTTTCCTCCGCGTCGGGACGCCGGAGGAAAGTGCAGAATCGAAGTCTGCGTCCCCCCACTCGGATCCTCTCTTCGGGCTTTTTACTTCACAGGGCGTCGACCCTACTCTCGACGCTGTCTTCTTTCAAGAGATTCTTTGATAACATTTTTAGATAGGCGTTTAGATGCCACTCTCGTGGGTATCTCACGCGAAACTGTATTCTTTTGCATTACCAGACCAGTGCCATGCTGTCGAGCTTAAGGCTTCTATATCCTCGCCGCGGTCATCTTGATTAATGATGGTTAGAAGAGCGAGAAAACGTATGCCCAAAAAATTCTTGCGTAACACGCGGCAAGTTCCACATTTGTAAGGTATTCCGAAATTTTCATTTTACTTTAGCAATCAATAAATCAACGTGACAAAATCATGAGAAGAGACAGGCTAAAAAGAAAGGCTACGTTAACTTTACGGTTAACGTTAACTTTACGGTTACTTATTGATTCTGACTTCGTCAGAACGAAGGAGGAAAATTTCCAGAATATTTGACAAATGTGCTCAATCGATCCTAAGAGTTACTTTGTGAACACGTCCTTTTATTTCAGTGTATTTCGCAAGAATTTTGGGTGTCTTCGAATCGGGAGCCTTAAGACGGCCACCGATGATGGATGAAGGACGTAGGGAACTCGATAATTTCGATCGAAAACGAAATCGAAAACAATGAATAATGGCTTTTCACCGAATTGGTGACACGCAGAGGCGAAGCATAACAGTTAGCATATGCCATAATATAGCGGTAATGTACCTGTTGACATGTAATGTCGCGCTTGATTAAACTAGAAATTAAACTAGAAACTATTCGTTCCGGATAACTGCCTATTCCCCGTCGATATCATGTTGTAATGTTTTATTTCGGCGCTAATATTACTCCGGAGTTTCTAGTTATCGTACACACTGAACGCATTTACTGCCATTGACAGTTGGATTGAAAAAAATCCTCAGTCGTACCGCGTCTCTTTAAATAATTTTTACGTAGCACATTTCTTATACTGAGGAAAAAATGTTTGGTATTTGTGACTAAAATCACACAGAGAAACAATGACTAAAAACTGGAGTCAAGAAGACCATTGTTTTTCTGCTATAATGCTAATGATAATATCCTCATATATACGTTAATATTATCATTTGCGTGTTAAAACAGAAAATATGGTTACGACCAAAAATAACTATAATTCTCGCTATACCGACCACTTTTTTCCCCTCAGTGTAATTATATACAAAGGAAATGCTACACGAGAGAGTTTAATTGACATGTCGCGTATACGTGACGCCGCTCTGCCGTGAAAATCGAGCGCGCACGCGTATGTGCCTCCGGCCGTGTTAACTCAGAAACGCGAGATCGATTTGTTCATAAACGCGTTCATGAACACTTCCCTTAAATTTTCTATCATTCTTTCGATAAATTTTGAGGTGAGCTGAAGCGCGCGAGTCCACTTTGAAAAGAAATTAAATATTGCCGGAAATAACGCAAAAAGGGCATAATTCCCAGCAAAATGAAATGGATAATGCCTTCGAGGGTGAAGTTAAATTCTCCAGTGTAATATCCCATTTTTATGTAATCGCGCGATTTCAGAGTTCCACAACGAGCTACGGCCGCAAGTCCCCTAGCGCGTTTCAACCGGGGGTGTTTCCATCTACAGTCAACGATCTCGTTTCACGTATCGACCCGCGCCGCGCGTTAATTAGTTTCGCGGCATTCCCTCGAACGCAGTCGCAGGGGTGCGGGCGTGGTAGGGGGAGGGGAATGTCCTCGCGTCAAAAAGCGCGGCTCCTGTCTGACGAAGTTGTCGAATACCAAGAGCGTAGCTACCGTGCAGCAAGAATAAGGGAGCGACGCAACGACCCACGAATATACACGCAGCTCATGTTATTTCTCCTCAAGCAGGAGAAGAAACCAGTCAGACAGAATAATAAGGACAGCTCGAAGGATGTCCTGATGGTTTCAGAGCGACAACAACGGCTGCGAGAATCCACCGATATTTCTCAAGTAGAACAATACCATGTCGGTCAGTCCCGGCAAGAAATAAACGACGCAACGAGAGTTACGTCTTCCGGTGTTTCCCGGACTTCTTTCACGTTATTCGGGCTTCTTCCTCGATGAAAATCCGTACGGATGATCCGAATGCTCCAGCTACGCCACTGTCGAACGTCCGCCGGTTCAGCAGTATCCCTTTGTGTAAGTGGCGGAGTTTCGACGCTGACATCCCGCCGGTGCGGATATTCCGCTGACGTTGATAACGCTGGCGGAGCGAACGCGGTAACGTCTGAGGATCCGCCGGAGGTGCTTTTCCTCCTGGCAAGCCGCGCCGGATGTTGGAACTCGCGTTATGTCCCGTGATCCGGATCACCGTCGGCGAATAAAACACGCGCTACTGAGTGGCTATATAATTCGTCTCGTTCTCTTGCCAGCGAGCTAACCAATCTGTTCATGTGCCCAATTAGATTACCTGTTGTCTCCGCCTGTATCGCGACGGAAAGTCGGAGGTTGTGTTGAGAGGATTGTCGGAGCGCTCTCAAAAGTCGCAGAGAGCATAGGTGGAAACGAGCAGCGTATTACACACAGAATAGTGGCTAGTGGATACAGAAACCTGTCTCACGTGAGATAATATATCAGATTGTAATCTAGAGCTGGGTCTGAGTTTTCTTTAGTTGAATCATATGATATGCGTGACGTTATGTTTGTAATCGAGGCGTAGCTGAAAAGTTCACATCTAACTCTGAAGTTCGTATCAATAGTCGTTATACGAAATTTGCTTTAGGTAAAACATTCAGATTTTAATTTAAAGTTAGAACTGAGTTTCTCAGCTGAATCGCGATTACAAGCGTAATGTCACATGTATTATGCAATTCAAATAAAAAACTTTTATGTAACTCTAAATTCAGATCTGAGTATTTCACGTAGGACAAATTTCAAGTAATAACTATTAACACAGGCTTTAGAAGCGTCAGTGATGTTTTGTTTGTCTTCGTGTTAATATGTGTTAATATTATACACACATTATATTCATGTTAATATGCGTACACTTACTGTAACGCCTATTCCGTAACTACTTATCGACAATTGTCGGATCGGTATACGTCGTTGCGCAGCTTTTCTATAGTATAAAAAAGCAACGATATCTACCGTTCCAACAATTGTCGGTAAGTGTGGTTACGGAATAAAGCCCCTGAGGTTCCCTTTATAAGACAATTTGCAAAAATTCCACGACTAGCGCACAAAAAGAAAAGGATAGCGCACTACAAATTCGTAAATTACTATGCATAGTTAAAGTGTTTCTTTTTATCTACATCTTGGGAAATTCATATACGCAATTTTCTTTGATATATGGTGCTTTCCCGAAGTTTCTATACATATTTTTGAAGACTGGACGTTATTCCTACAACTGATCTGTAATGTGCGAGCGCATCAGTAGTGCGCATTTGTAGTGCGCTATCCTTTTCTTTTTGTGCGCTAGTCGTAGAATTTTTACAAATTGTCTTATAGAGGGAACCTCAGGGGCTTTATTCCGTAACCACACTTACCGACAATTGTCGGAACGGTAGATATCGTTGCGCAGCTTTTTTATACCATAGAAAAGCTGCGCAACGACGTCTACCGATCCGACAATTGTCGATAAGTGGTTACGGAATAGGACCCCAGGTTAATAGCTGCTGTCGAAAGTTTCCTTCGTTTTTGCTTTGTTTTATCATATTAGCGGAAACTACGCATATGTAGAAATTTTTCTGCATACTTTTCCGATACTTTTAAACGTTTTAGTTCAGATATAAAGGTACAGCAATGTTCGTTAACATTTTTCTGAGCGACGTAAACTTGCGTTCAGTGTATACAAACTACAGGTCTTTCGTATCAGGCAAATACTCACTTTAACTGACGTCTGACATGTTGATTTACACTCGAAATATCGGCTTTGAAATTTCTTATCGTTTTTATCATATATTGAGCAATGCTTCGTTTCATTCTTACACGTGTTATTATTATGTAAGACCATTTGCAATTCTGTGGAGCCAATAAGACGTCAACTTTGCAGAAAAAAATCAGTATTCTATCGATAAAGATTTCGACTCCGGTATCCCGTTAACGATCGAAAGTAGAAGTTGGACGCATTGCCTTGTTAACTAATTCAGAACAAGCCGCACGCAGCTTGAGTCGCCGGAATTCTATGTGCTCTTTGGATCATGCAATTCAGGGGGAAATAAGTCACTGTTGGATGCGCGTACGTACTCAATTAACGATTACTAATTAGTCTAATTAGACTGCTAATCACTATTGCATCAAGTCGTTGGCGTAAATTACAGAGCGCACGTGATGATGCCAAACAGTTTAGTAACAAGGTTACATAAATTGAGTTACATCGACCACGCCTCTCTCTCGCTATGCGCTTTCTTGTTGCTTTATTTGGCGAGGTTCTGCGGATAGCTGCTCATTTGCGCGCAGCCTCTTTTCGCGGAGTCGCACCCGCGACCATTTGAAGAGCGCATTACGTTTTACGACATGTACACGTCGGAATCGGAGGCAAGGACGGCAGGAAGGGGGGAAAAAAGGCTCCGAGGGAGAGCAACATTGTTCTCCGGATTCTTTCGCAACGGCGAGTGCTCGCGAGCGCCGTTCCGAGCGGTATCTGCGAATTTTATCACCGCGGATGTCCGCGCGAGGCGAATCTCGGTGGCGGCCGACTGTAAAAATCGTTCGTATCGCCGGCTGAATGGCGAGGAAAAAGCTATCGCGTGCGCGGTCACGTTGATTTTCAGCAGTTTTGCAATTGTCGCGTGTTATCCCGCGCACGAGCCGTCGCGTGCGCGACGCCGGCGTGAGTGCGCGCATTTGTGTTGCATTGCGCTCGATTATGTGTGCACTGGCTGTGTTCTTTCCCAGAAAACAATCTCGTCGATACACGATTAATCAGCGATTCGCACGATGAAGCAATTACGACGCCGATTGTCGACAAATGCGTTAACTCTAATCAACTCGCGATACTAATTACAGCTGTGATCACATCGATAAGTCGTGTTGTCGAGAGTAACAATGGTCGCAGATGTAATCGCTGACGTGTGAAGGTGTCAGCGTTTTGTCTATTGTTGCGTTATGTACAATACGAGATATTTTCCAGTTTCATCTCGACGACATACACTTCTTCTTTGAAAGAAATAGAGAGAGGGAGGGAGAGACAAAAGGGATATGTGTTTACGAAATTAGCTTGCTTCCGAAAGACAATGCGCGCGGGAACTGTGTCTTGTTTGCGACGATCGTTAAATATGTATTAATACAGTAATTATTAAGCGAGCTAAGCTGCCAAGAGCCTCTATGAATAATGTGGCGCATTTATTACGAACGTGCTTTAGCAGTCCATTAAACAAGAGGATTTGACCGTTGTTCAAACAATTAACGAATTCTGTTATTAATTCAGCCGCAGTTCGCGCGCACGAAGGATCTTATAAGCCGGCGTGAACAAGCCTGTTATAACTACTCGACCGAGCAAAACACGCGCACTTTAAGTCGTCATTAGCGCTTCCGTACCATCGTGGATCATCGTGGCGGGGCGCGACTTGAAACGAGCGAAACTTGAAATTAACGACAAACAAAATCACAATTAAAACGACGCGCGCGACCTTTTCCTGCTCCAGTTCGCCGCGAGTTCGTTCGCCAGCATTTCGTTCTGTATCGTAACATTATGTGCTGCATTTTAATTGCACATGCTTGCGTGACCGCTCGATGGATACGGGAGAAATTTAGGTTTCTCTAGTCTTGTGGCACTCACACGTGGCAGGGGGCGAATCGGGTTTCGCTCT